AAAAAAAAAAAAAACCTTTTTTTTTTTTTAAAAAAAAAATTTTTTTTTTTTTTTTTTTTTTTTGGGGGGGGGGGGGGGGGATGGCTTCCTTCTGGTGCTGGGAAAAAAAAAATCTTTAACAGATTACTTCTATTTTTGCTTATTTGCAATCCACTTTAATATCAGACAAAAATAACATGAGTAAATATGAAATGGTGCTTTCAAATGATTTTATTTGTTAGAGAAGAAAATCAACTAAACAATGTGAAACTGAATTACTTTTTCTACCACTTTTGGCAGCAGCAATTGCTGCCAAAAGTGAGGAATTTTAACCAATCTTTTTTTTTGAAGACTGTTAAAACTTACACATTGGAACTTTTAAGAGCATCAACAATGTGTTAATAGTAACTCTGTAGGATTTTTATTGGACTCTTGGGTGGATTTACTGGATTAATGCTACTAATGCAATTCTTTCACTAATTACAGCAAGTTTGAAACTTCATTGTGACACGATCACGTTTCATCGTGTTTGACTGTCAGTAAGATGCTACTTTTTTTTTAAATGCTGTGTTCTCTTTGTACCGGACGTTATGGAATCTACATCATCCAAAAAATTCTTCAGCCCTCGGGTTCTTAGACAGTTTTGTCGGATAACTGCATTCTGCATTAATAAAGGTGTAGCGGTTAGTTTTTAACAACAGTAGTTTGGTCTGGAGAGATTTTTGTTCCTGCAGAAAAACAATTAGACCATCGCTTAAAAGCTGAATTGTGTACACAGTCTGATTGTATTTGTTTGAAAATAAATCTAATGTGATAATATAAAACACGGGGCTGCACAGCGGTGCAGATGATAATGCTGTTGCCCCCACAGCAAGAAGATCCTGGGGTCTTTTCAGCATGGAGTTTATATATTCTCCCTGTGCACACGAGGGAGGGTACTTTGGCTTCCTTCCCTTGTCCCAAGACAAGGATGGACCAGGCTGTTAATCTGTCTCTCCAGGTTGTCCTTAGGTTTCAGCGTGTCTGTGTGTGCACATGGTTGTTTTTGTCCTGTGCAATGCCCTCTGACCTGACAAAGGCATTCCCCACCTCTCACCCACTGACCACAGGCAGTGGCCACCAACAGACCCTGCAGAGATGTGTTGGTTAAGACAATGGATGGATTGACACGAAACACTGAAATGTGACTTCTATCTTCCTCTCTGTACTGCGCAGCCTCAAATCGCAATAACAAAATGAAATTCTGGCACTGCTTTCACTTGAAGCTGCTCGGCGTTGTTGAATCCAAAATAAATAAATAAATCAAGTTCCTCATAATGTAAGTGAATTTGAACAACAAAACAAAAAAAAACCAGTTTAACTTGCAGTAAAAAACAAACAAACAAAGCTATATCAGGATTATGATTGTAGTTCCACACTGAACCACTTCGAGACTTCATTTTTTTTTTTTTTTTTTTTTTTCTTGAAGCAGCACTATAATGGGGACTTCATCTCTTTGCTTTTGGGGCTGTTCTATAAAAAGGTGCCAGTGTCTGAGGTCCCAGTGGTACCTATTACGGCAGCCTAGTAGTCATTAATCACAGGCGAGTAAGCATTTCAACGCAGTGTCCGCCTAGAATTTCCAATAGTCATTCATTAACAGTTCCCACTGCCATCTCTTTTCTTAGCATCTGCCCCCTCCTTCTCAACACTCCCACCTGGACCCTACGGAGTTGGTCGTTTTCTTGCTGACATACCCGCTTTTCTTTTTGCCTGCGTTATGTATAAACTGTACAAGTAGGTGTACTGGGAGATGTCTCAAGACGACCTTTGCAGAACTTCTTCGTTTTTGTTTATTCCTTTAAATGACACGTTTACGCCGATGTGTTTCGTCGCCGTGAACGTCGCAGCTTTTTATAGCATTTATCTTTTATCAAAACTGCGCAGATATGCAGGAGATACTGTGTCTCGCAAAAGAGTGCATGCATGCCCCCTTTCACATTTTGTCATGTTACAACCACAAACTTATGAGTATTTTATTGTTTGTTTTATTTTCAAGAAAGTCCAACTCAAAATTGTTCAACTGTAAAGAACAAAAAAATATATATATAAGCCATTATAGTTCCTCTCTATTCTAACCACCCATAAAAACAAAATCAAATGCAAACCACCTCCGTCAAACACACACACACACACACACACACACACACAAGTATGAAAAAATCCTATGCTTGTAGATATTCAAATTTAGCTGGTAGAGCGACATACCACAAAAGATTAGGTGAGATCATTCCACATTCCCATTAATAAACTAATTGAAAAATACATAATTAAAGCATAAAGGTTTTGTCACTCTGAGTAACTGAGTGGTGCAAGGCCAAAAATCAAAAGGCATGAAGTTAACTGTATTCATTTTTCTCTCATACAGGAGTGGTAATTACGATTGGTACGACAAAGAGTAAAAATGACCATGATTCATGTTTTCCTTCACAGTAATATATCTGCATCAATTCAAATGTGATTAAAACTGAATAAGCAATGATTCTCACAAGTCTATTAAATCTGTGACGATTGTGTAAATGTATATGCTCACTTATGAGAGGAAGGTCAACTATGTACCAGAAGTGAGATAAGTCAGGGACAGAGTGGGAGAAAGGCCCTGGAGAGCTAGCAGGACGGATCTTGTCAACATGAGGTGCAGACACGGGATAAGCTGTCTCACCAAACTCACCAAACCAAAAAAAAAAAAAAACAACAGAATGTCCAGAGGGCTGATCCTAGCTGCCCCATGGGGGAATAAAAGAGAACGTAGTCAGAGCAGCTCCAAGCAGACATCGAGGCCGAAGACAATGTTGCCCTGTGTGTGAGATTCAACCCCAGAAATCCAAGGTGGTGTTCAAGGACTTTCAGTCAAAAGTGCAGATAAAGTCTGAGCTGCAGCTCCAATTCCATCCAAGAATATTTTCAAGCCCTTCATTTCCAGAATATCTGCTCTGACTGTGGCATGAAAAGCCTGGTCCATCCTCCAAAAGCCTGCACTTAGAGCTGGGGAAATATAAGTTTGGTTATCTGGACTTATTTTTCTTATTTGAATATTCTACGGAACTGATTGAAGTCTAACGCGTTCCAGTTAAAGAACCACACATTGATGTGTCACTGTAGTCTGAAGTCTTAGTAACAAAGTTCTCCTTTTAGTTATGCGTTTCTTTTTGTTTGGCCCATCCTATCACACGAAATTCTAATGACATGGTTTTGGTTTGTAGTTTTGACAAATGTGAAACAAGTTCAAAGACCGTGCCGACTTTTGTAACATACTGCAGCACAAAACGGCCAGGCTGTTACAAAAGCACCAGGAAGAAACGAACAAGCTTGTTTTTGACCAGTTAACTTCCTTATTTCAGAACAAGGACAAAGCAATGCTTCTTCCCATCCACTAAAACATTTGTGTTCATTTTGTGTGCTATTCCATCACATGTGGGAAAATAATCCATCAAATGCCATGAAATAGAGTGGCCAGTAGGGAAATTATACCCATTATTAATGGTCTCCTAGATCTCCCAAAGGGCTTTCCATTATAATTATCGACTTTTCCCCCCTTCTTGTCCCGAGCGTTGTTTTAAATCAGAGCAAGGTCAGCTTCTGGTCAAAGAAAAATAAATAAAAAGCAAATCTTGGAAAAAAAAAAAAAGAAGAAGAAGAAGAAGGATGTCCTGCTTCCTCAGATACCTCACCATCAGGAATGTTTGGTTACATCAAGCATATTGTAGCAACTATTTCCAATTACAATTGAGGTTCAAACTTTGTCTTCTGTTACTTAACATTTTTACAAATTAAGACTTCATTGAAATGATCTCATCTTGACCAGGGAAGCAGGGAAGCCTCAGAAGAGAAAACAAATTCATAAAACTCTTGCCAAAAAAAAAAAAAAAACTAAAATGAAAAAGAAGCTGGGCTGCAGCAAAACGTTAGGGACAAATAGCCAAGAGGCCAGCTGCTGTTGATTCAAAACAGAGGATTTTAAAATGGCACAAAAGAAGTTTGCGATCTTAATTCCACAAACTACTGAATTGTTCTGACTTTATTATACACTTTTATTTGGGACTCACACTCCCCTCAGGCATCAAAGGGACGGGAATCTGCTTCCCTCAAATTTAGTTTCAGGCCTGTTGACATCCCAGAGTTGTGCTTTAGGGTACCTCCTCCTCACACAGCAACAACAGGGGAGGAACACAAGGCATTAGGATGCTAGTCTAGTCTACCAGAGTCTTGAACTGTTGAACTAGCAGGTAACATCGCATTCACTGACTTCTTTGGTGCCTTCATCCTGGAACATTTCACATTGTTTAAGCTGCTTTTTTTTTTTAGGTCGAATTGTTAAACTTAACAGAGTGTACCCCACCTCTCCAATGACCGTCGCACCCCCAGTCTTGCCACATATTCTTAATTTATTTTTGGTCTTGTGGTGAACTCTGAGCAGCATTCTGACCTGCTGAATGTTTTTTTTTTTTTCATTCATTTTCTCACCCACCATTTCACCTTTTTTTTTTTTTAAACTATCAGTCACCTATAGAGCTGATTAGTAGATAAGCCTGGAAATCCCACCTCCTCAGACCACATCATGTTGTGTACAAAAGGACATAAACCCACAAACTTTGATTTATTTTTATTTTTTTTTGCTCTGCAGAGGTCTAAACAAGATGACTGGTAATATTTTGGTGTCTGCTCCCGAGATAAGTCTGAATCATTAAGTGGCAGAAAAGAGAGAATAAGACGCCGCAGCTTCAGGTGCTCGTGATCGAAAGGGGAAAATGGCACAGATAGCTGGAATCAACTAGCGTACAGTGACCTGAACATAAAGCCCTTGAACAAACGGCGACATTTCTTATGAAGCAGGCCTCCAGTGAATACAAATTCCACTGCATTTCTGTTGTGACAGAATCAATTTATCCCATTAAAACGGCCTCATTCCCAGTAAAGCTACACTTAACATTCACACATGCTCTCCCAAATTAACATTATTATCAAAATAGAAGGAGAAAAGAAAAACTCAAACTCTTTAAGATTGTTTGAACTTTCAAGCTTCTACATGGAGAGATCTAAAATAAATACCCTCGTGGGCACACGGAGAATGGCAGAGCCATTAGTCATATCATGTAAGAAAATGAATAGGCCAAAGTCTACCATAATGTACTGCATGAGTAATGCAGGGTCTTGGCTGCTGGTACGTTTCAGAACAGAAGCTAGCGGTGCTTGCCAATTCCACGATAAATATCAGATATTTTGGCAGCACACTTTAGAAAGTGAGCTTCGTGATGGAGAGGAAATTGCCATCGGCCTGCTGCATTGCTAGAGACGTAGCGGGAACAGCTGGTGGCCTTTTCCAAGATAATCCAGCTCTTGATATTTCTGGGATTTCTTGCTGGTGGTAAAAGTCTGTGCCATCCGTAGTTCTCCTCTCTTCAGTTTGGGCAGATAGCTTCATTTTATGCAGAAAGTTTACTTATTTAAAACGTGCATGCACACGACATTCCAACACATGTAAGAATAGGGTCAATGACTGCAGCATTTTTTGTGCCAAGTGCACAATGTATCTCAACCGATGTACCGTTACGGTGCATGATAACGGTGCCGCTGTTGTTTGAAACGTCACCCTGATGCGTCGTGTAGGCCTCTCCATCTGGGAGGAATCTGAAGCCTACTGACTGAAGTTGCACTAAGGAAAACGGACTGTTTAGTCAGGGGTAAAAAAAAAAAAATGTGAGAGGATGTATTCTGTCTTTCTCTTTTTAGTATTTTGAAGTGAATGTGTTTCCAGCCCCTTTGGAAGGCTCCCAAAGAAGTTTTGATGACTGAAGACATGATCTCTTTGTGTGTGTTATACAGGGAAAGCTTTTTTTATTATTATTATTTATTTTTTTACCCCCAACTGTTGTTTTTTTTTTTTTTTTTTTTTTTTTAGGAAAAAAGTGTCAAAAAAGTGTTTCAATCTCTGCTGCGAATTTGATAAAAGTACTAGTATGAAAGGTGCACGCACTTGTTTTGCGATCATTCGGGTCTGCGTGAGAATTTCACATCAGTTATGCTACTCAGGAAAAAAACAACTTCCATTTTTCTGCTTGGAAGTGTGAATGTGCAAAATGTCGGCAACGCTCAACACAAGCAGATGGATTCCTCAGCTGAATACTGCTGTTATTAAATTATATCAGCTCAGTGAGTTGCGAGGTGCGTGGCCTAATTACAATTCTTTTGAAAAATATTGCCGTTGTTCTCAGCTCATGCAAAATGGAAGATGGTGTTGGGAATAAATTTGTTCCCCGAACTCTAAAGGCATTGGAATACAAAAAGCATGTCAGCAAAACTTTGAAACTTCGGAATCCGTGGGACTCCAGTGCACGTATAGAGTCAATTGTCTAATGAAGCTAACACCTCTGATTTGAAATGCAATCACCGCTGATTCTGTCTTATGTTAAACGTGACTGTTTCATATATTTCCCAGAGAGGTTGCTCTTAAAAAGCAGGTTGTTTTACACCTTCAACAAGCAGAACAAGTCCCTTTGAATCTATCCTTAAAACCTTCCTTTTTGATTAAGTTTATAGGTCTGGTGGCTAAAGTTATTCTTGCACATGCATCTTTCCTGTTTGGGTCACTGATTGAGCTGTTGCTGCCATTTTTGTTTTAAGTCCTTTTCTTTCTTTCACAAGTACACGTGGCTCAGGGATGCAGTGTTTAGCTGTTTTTCATACAATGACCCACTGACACAACAATTTTTGTCATTTATTTGACAGGTATTCTGGGTAAAGTGCTTTAATGTTTAATGTCTTGTGCTTCTTAGAAAAGTTTTTATCAACTGGGATTGAAAGATTTCCCAAACTTGACTACATTGTATCGTAGTTCAGATTTAATCAGATTTGAATCAGACTATAAAATTGCATCTAAGTGAACTGGATTTATTTATTTTAATCAATTAATTTGTGTATCTTTTGATATGACTTTAACCCGTTTGTCTTGTGAGATTATATTTGTCGTTCTGTATCAAGTAACTGAACTGAAACGGAATGAACGCTAGCTACATCTCTGTGTGTTGCTAATGCTCTTGACCCTCACGCTCCACAAGCTGAGAACCTCATCAGATATGGTCTCTATCCCTGATGGTTTTCTACATCTGCACCGAGGAAGTGTGCAACAATTTGTACGTCCTCTATCTTTGCACGAAAAGCTCCAAAACCCCGTTTTCTCGGTAAAGATAAGGCCGGGATAATATGTTTCTCTTGTCAGTTCCTGGAATTACCTGATTTTCTCTTGCTCTTTCTTTCCTCCCCAACTGTAGTTTTGGATTTTCTGGATGGAATTTGGTATCTCTGACTGTAATTAATAGCCAGTGGTGAGATGTCCTTTATCAACCTGGCTGGCTCTTATCTGGATGTTTGGCATGATGATGCCGTAAGACTACTTTCATGTAGACAACAGACCACAGATTATAAACTACAAGGTCTCAAAGACATTAAAAGAGGGAAATAATTACAACAGCTTTCATAAACACGTGACGTTTAGGAGAAGAATAGAAATATATATGTCTCACTGTAGGGAGATTCAAGTGTAACAGCAGCATTGGGGTATGCATCTTCACACAAAGACCAAAACGTCTTTTAAACACATAATAATAATAATAATAATAATAATAATAATAATAATAATAATAATAATAATCTATAGAATATGAAAAAGATTATAGCACAAATTCTGTGCTGTTATCAGAGCTACAATAGGATAATAGCGTAGGATAACTTTTAAATATAAATTACATAATGTGCATGTGCATCCGTGCATTATGTATGATTCTCAAATAACCCGAATATTAAGCTACCAGACTGAGTGGTGGAGATGAGCATGTGTTTTATGGTCTTGTGATCACATTTCAACGACTGAAGCATGAAATCAAATTGGGTTGTAAATAAGAGCAGACCCAGGTGGATTCACTTAGTTTGGAAGTAACACTTCTGGCCAGCACAAGTGATCCGTGCAGAAGGACGCTCGTTTTTAAACCACAAGATTTTCACCAGGAATGTAGATTTTCCCTCAAATGGGAAATGTTTTATGCAACATAATAATTTGTCTTTTATTAAATGAAAGTTATTTAGCTTTCATTTAATTTCAAACATGACCACACATATTCAGTGACTTTCTCTCAAAACTAGGTATAGGCAGCAGTTCCTTTTATTTTGCAAAATAAAGCAAGCGTATTGGAAGAAAGAGTGACTTACACCCTGCTCTTGATGTAGAAAATGCACACACACACACACACACACACACACACACACACACACACACACACACACACACACACACACACAAAAGTCTATACACTTCCTGGAAAAAAAACTTACAGTAATTTATTACAAAATCTACATTCACAAAATCACATTGCTGTTGGAATTTAATGATCTAATTAAAGGGTCAATAATTCTCTTAATGGTCACAACCGCTATGTATATGTTGATGAATAATTAAATGAAGAAATAATACAAACGTGAGTTGATTTTTCCTGGGAAGGAATGCTCAGATTACCATTATGTGATCCAATCTTTAACTTAATCAAATGTCACTCTCTCTTTGAAATGTAAGGTCAAGATTTCTACACATAATTTGAAGTCTGAATAACCCAACTGAAAGTGTGATGGAAATTTTGAAGGAATGTAGAGATATGAACTCAAATAGTAGAAAGCCTTTGAGATCCAGTAGGTTCCGATGCCAAAAACCAGCCTCAGATTATGCATGGCTGTTTACTTTCTCTGTACCATCCTGGGTTTCTGCTCATGTAAGTTGTAGGCCTTCTCTTCTTCTTCTTCTGGAGTGTCAGTCTTGGCTTCAAAAGCTACTCTGTCTGCCCAGGGAGGTCACTCTGAGGCTTGGGGGGTGTTTTTTCTTTGATACTGTGTCTGGACGTCTTGACGGTTCGTCTCTTTAAATAGCAATCTTGCACAATAGGTTTTGGCTTCTGCACTGAGGCAAAAAAGAAAAAGAAAAGAAAAGGCTTTGTGAAAGATTTGGCAGGACAAAAAGTTAAGGTGACAGTTCAAGCACATAGTGGAAAGGTGATAGAAAACAATTTATAACTGCGATAACCAAATATTGCATTACGTTCGTGCTGTGAAATGCACTTATCCTTGACTTTATTAAGTAAGTCATGGCAGTAAGATTAAAGCATCATACGCAATTATTGTCTGTCAGTTGGTATTAAGGTCAGCTTTACCAAAAAAAGTTGCCACAGTTGTTTGTGAGGAAAGGGGAAAGGAATTATCCGGGAGGTAGAGTGAAGTTTTCTATTAGCCACAGCGGCCATATTGGATTTTGACATCTGGGTGAGTTAGGAACGTCCTACTTTCGCCACTCAGAATATCCAACTTCAGTGGACTTCTCTTTAAATTTTCAACCTTTGAGAACTCATATTTACACTGCATCTACAAAACAATTAATCAGGGCAAATTATGATTATTTTTTTTTATTTTATGACATAATAAAACCTACAGATGGAAACCCCTGTCATTCCGAAATGTCTTTCAGTATGACATGTCAGATTGCTTCCAGTGTGTTTTCCTTCGATGTTGTCAATGTGACTCAGTGCCTCACGCTTCACTTTCTGAAGCTTGTTTCTCCACCGCTCTCACCTCTTCAATTGTCTCTTCTTTTTAATGAACTCTTCTCCATCTCATTTTTCTCGTGTTTAGTTGTAATTTTATATATACATTTTTTTTCCCCCCCATTTTTCTCTGTATAAATTTTAATGTCCTGCGTAGAGTGTTTTCTTTTCTGAATTATATTTTTTGTCAATAAATCTGGAAAATAAAATGCATCTCCAAGATAAGCCAAGATATTGTTTCCTGACAAACAGAATGCTCTGCAACACAATTCCTCTCTTTTTTTCTTTTTTTTTAACTTTACCCAGTGCAGTTCAAGTTGATTTTAAGTTTGCCAAGTCTTTGCAAACTATTGCATCAATGAAGTTCCAATTATTTTATGATGCATTATTTACAGATAAACGTGCAGTTACTGTATGCAAAAAACACAGAATAAAAAAAAAAAGACATCTTTAACAACAGTTAAACCTCAGGTAACAATTAGCACGCATTGTTGCCGTCGCATTAGAGAAACACACCCTGGAATCTGTCAGAGCGGCTTTCTAATGACTGCTCTCCCTGCCGCGTTTGATGAGTAACTTGTCACTCCGCCATCAGCTGCACAGTCTCAGTTGAAAACGTCACGATGCAGAAAACAGACAGGGAAGTCAAACTGCTTTTTCTTCCCGAGCCACGGATCCATTTCCTTGAAAATCTCCCAAGGTTTGGTACAGTAGCAAACTTCGCCAAAGTTCTGCGCCAAATGAGGGGGCACTAGGAGGCAGAAGAGTCGTTGCATCAGGGACCAATTTACATCATGACACCAAGAAGATGGAGCCTCGAAGGCGTTACATCTGGAGGTGACTCGCACGGGAACAGTCCAAAATTGTGTGCACATATATTTGGATATTATCGAGTTCATTCTGAAAGCTTGGAAATCTTAGCAACATGCATGTCACCTGGACCAAAAACAGCTGCAACGGTGTGAACTATTTATTAAGATAAGAACGTTATTGAAAACAAACCCGGTGATGAAATGGAGTGATTTGCAAAAAAAAAAAAATGACATCCCTTAAAACAATTGGACTTAGATCTAGACTTTGACTATGCCGTTTTTATAGACAATAAATAAATAAATATTTTGATCCAAATCATTCCATTTTAACTCCTGTTGCTGGAAGGTGAACATCCACTTAAGCAGGACTATATAGGCATTTGGGTGTCCTATGAACAAATGCATCGTGGTGCTCCCCCAACCTCCATCGTTCCCGAGGAAGATTTATTAGGAGGAGCTTATTGAAACCAAAAATCCTCAAAGTCTGCAGAATGTCTTCACATCAAGTTACATAAGCAGTTCATATATGAAGCGAGACAAATGTAAAAAGCTGGCATTTCTCATGTGTTTGTTGAGTTTGTATTTGTCATTTGTTCAAAGCGGAGGGGGAGGGGCTAAGAAAAGTATCGTCTTTGTTAGATGCAGTTCTTAATATTCTTATCACCTCTATTATTCATAAACCTTTTAGTGAAAGCTACTTGTTTTTCTTACCCTTTTTATGTCACCCCCTGGGCTGCTGACACTCATAGCATTTGCCCACTGCTATGCCATGGAATAAACCCGGGGCTAAATACAAAAGCAAGCCTCACTTAGATTTTATTTATATACAGTATATGTATTTAAATTTTTTTATATATATAATTTTCAATAAACTTCAGAATTTTGCTTGCCTCACACAAATAACACTAATAAATTGCAGTAAAGTTTGTGAAAAAAAAATATTTTTTTAATACTTTGGCAAATCGCTGTATCTTGCACTAACTCCACTTAAATTAAATTGTGATTTTTCTATTGTAAAAAAAATCTTATTTGCATGCCACTGGTTCGCCCTGTCGTTACGGAATAAGTCCGCATAATTAAGGTGCGCTCAAATAAAAAAGAAAACGCTGATACAATGATACCTCTTTTCAGCAAATCAAGCCTCGTTTTGAGCCTCCAACACTTTGTTCTTGATTCAACAGCCGATTTAACATTCGACCCAGTTTCTGCGAGGCTCTCTACTGGGACGCAACCCAGAAGTGTCATACAGAAGAACCAGAATAATAAGGCCCTCCACTCTAGAAATAAAGCCAACAACATCATGTTTATGCTTCTGAGATTAATTCACAAGGACGTTACATTTATCATTTTTTGGTTAGAGCCGTTTTTTTTTTTTTTAAGAAGCATACACAAATCAGCTTTCATATGTGCAGTCAATGAGAAGGAGAAATAAAAAATGGCCAGCACAGTTTGATGCAGTACACACACACATCTCCTTCTCAAGGCCAGCTAAGCACATCCTGCCCCTTGGATGTTAGCTTGGTATGGAAATGACAGCCAACAATTTCATGCGACCCTTAGGACTGTAATTAGTATTATAATATAATGTAATTAGTCTTCGCATGCAGTGTAATGGCACAAGGCTTGGAATATCAATAGTTAATGTGCAAACTGGATCACAAACAACCTGATTAAATATTCTAACTTACTTTCAAAGAGCAAGCAGCAGTCTGCCTGCAGGTCTCACAGGGAATTCAGTGTTTTTACTCAACTTAGTGGAGTACATATTGTCTCGGAGGTGAACTACGACGAGCAGAAGCACCACTGGTGTAATTATCGGAGTTGCGATACTGACCCTGGGGTCTTCAGTGTGTGTTTAACTTGTAAGGGACCAGGAAAACTGAATGCAGAGGAGACACATTCATATTCTGGTGGAAAAGCCCAAGCAACGTGCGTAAGTTTCGGCTGAACTCACAGTGCCAGGAGAATGTTTTCAGACGGGTCCCTTAGCAATAATTTTTCCTAATTTTGCTTTTTCGCTCAATTTTACCAGATGCGGAAATATGCGTGGCGTGTTCTGCCCTATACTAGCGTTTCTTTTTACGAAGCTCCACTGTGTTGAGA